CCCCCCGCCAAAGAAAAAAACTGTTTAGCTCATAAGTGACCAACCATATCTTTGCCGACACCCCACCCCCTGCTATTTGTCTCCCACAGACAGGGTTTCTCTGTGAACTCACGCTGTAGACTAGGCTAGCCTCGAACTCACAGAGATCTGCTTGCCTCTGCCGCCGGAGTGCTGGGATTAAAGGCGTGCGCCACCGCCGCTCGGCTTTTTCTCCCCCTCCCCCAAGCCTCTGGCCCAGAACCATGGATTGTATTTGAAACTTTCTGTTGAAAGTTTAGCTTGGATAATTACTTCTGAAAGTAAATTTGGCCAGGGTAGATGGACTCGTCTTTCTTGTTAAATGTTTAAAGTTTCTAGAGCATGCGTGCTCAAAAGGGAACTTAAAAAAAACAAAAACAGTTAATCGAGTCATGAGAATAGGCAGGAGTTCATCGGCTATTAGACATTGATGTCAAAAGGCCATTAACTCCATTTTAAAAGAAATGAAAATTTTAAATGTGTTTTATTTGTTGTGTGGGGGTGTGTTTATGTGTTCGTGTGTGTGCACATGTCATAGAGCATGTGGAGGCCAGAGGACAACCTGATTCCCCTCCCCCCCAACATATGGGCTCTGGAATCAATTGCAGGTCATCAGGCTTGGCAGCAAGCACCCCTGCCACTAAGCCATCTCCCCTCCCCAGCATCTATCCATTCATGCATCCATCCATCTATCTTTTTTCAGAGACAGGGTCTTGTTTGTATCCCTGGCTGTTCTCAAAGTCACTTGTAGCCCAGACTGGACTCAAGTTGTAGCAGTGGACATCATTCTCTCAAGTGCTGGGATTACAGCCACGAGCCACTGACTGTCTTAAATGAGATTTTTAAATATAGGAGGCTTTTCTTTTTTCTCTTCCTTTCTTTTTGGACAGGGATTTTCTATGTAGCCCTCAAATTTGAACTCTAAATTCTGCCTCAACTTTATGAATGTTGGTATTAGAGTCTTTACAATTTGTAGAAACTCTTGGAATCTGTGATAATAGACAGTACTGAAGAGTTGGCTTTTCTTTAAAGAATGGAGAATCAATATAAAGAGGGCGTGATCGCATATTCAGGAGGGGGACATGGTAAGGTGGATAATTAATGCTTTTTAATTAAGATTTATTTATTATGTATAGTGTTCTGCTTGCATGTCTTCCTACAGGCCAGAAGAGGGCACCAGATCTCATTACAGATGGTTGTGAGCTATCATGTGGTTGTTGGGAATTGAACTTAGGACCTCTGGAAGAGCAACCAGTGCTCTCAACTGCTGAACCATCTCTCCAGTTCCTAATTAATGGTTTTTGATAAATAATAGCAGCACTAAATGATTTCACTACATCAGGTCTATTTAAAACTTTTATTTGTAAACATGTTTTGTTTATGAGTATTTGTTTTCTGTAATAATGGTTTCACTGTGAATTTGCACATGTATATAATGTATTTCAGTCATATTCACTCTAATTATCCTCTCTTATTCCCATCTTACCAGCGGCTTCACCATTGAAAATGTTTCTCTCCTCAGCAACTAGTGCTGCCTTCAGATCTTCATGGAGGGGTGGGGTCTTATGAATCCCCCTCCCTGCTTGTTTTGTTCCCTGAGGTATGGTCTCATGTAGCCCATGCTGGCCTTGACTTTCTCATCCTGGTTAGAGGTTTGTGTCATCATGCCCAACATACCAGATTTGGTCTCATTCTTAAAATCTGTGGCGGAATCCAAGAAGTTTTATTATTTCTTAAGTATGTGTGCAAACCACCCACGTGTGAATGCTTGCAGAGGCTGGAAGCAGGTGTCAGATCCCGGACAGTTGGGGTCAATAGGCAGTTGTGAGCCACCCAACATGGATGTTGAGAACTGAACTTGGGTTCTCTGGAAGAGCAGCAAGCACTTGCCCTTAATGGTAAAGGTGTCATTCCAGCTGGGATTGCCTTATCTTTTTTTTTTTTTTTTTCTTTTTCCCTTCCTGTCTTCTTTCCATATGAGAGAAGAGAAAAATTAAAACCTCAGATGGAGACTGGGGTAATAACTCAGCAAGTAAATACCTACTGCACAAGTAGAGGATCCCCAGCACCCACACAAAACCAGACATGGTGTGGGCCTGTGGACAGTGGGGACAGCTGGGTCCTCGGGGCTTGTTGACCAGGCAGTCTGTCTGAAATGGCAAACTCCAGGTTCACTGACAGACCCTGCCTCAAAAATATAAAGTAGAAAATGATATGAGACTTCATACCATCCTTTTCTGCCTTCACACTTTAGCAAGTGCAAGTTGGTATTTTGCATGTTTATTAACTTTTTTTTCTGAGTCAGCTTTTTAATATTTGCTATTGTAGGAGAAGCAAACTCATCTCAAACAGGGAGCAGCAGCTTGAATTATCAGAAAGTAACTTCCTGGCTTTCTTGTATCTACTGATAGGGTTAGAATTTTTGAAAGTAATGTTCATCACATTCCAACTTTATATTAAGAGGAGCTATTTACTATACATCACTGCTATGGAGTTGCTACATCTTATTTATGTAATAGTGCAATGATGCTCCATCATTTTTTCCTTTTTAATGAAAATATTAATTAGATTTATTCATTTTATTTGTGAGTGTTTTATCTGAATGTTATGTATGTATACCATTTGTGTGCTTGGTGCCTGCCAGGGTTAGCAAAGGACATCTGATCCCCTGAATTGGAGTTACAGATGGTTGTGAACTACTATGTGGGTGCTAGGAATTGAACCCCAGTTCTCTGCAAGAGCAACAAGAGCAAGAACTGCTGAGCTCTTCCTTCCTTCCTTCCTTCCTTCCTTCCTTCCTTCCTTCCCTTTTCCTCCCTGCTCCTCTTCTTTCTTTCTTTCTTTCTTTCTTTCTTTCTTTCTTTCTTGTATGATAGATGAGGTCATACATTGTAGCTCTGATTTTCTTGGAACTCACACCACGTTCTTCTGGAACTCACAGAGATCTGCCTACTTCTGCCTTCCAAGTGCTGGGATTAAAGTATGTGCCACCATATCTGGCACACCTGTAATTTTTGGTTTTGTTTTTGTGTATTTTTTTAAAAAAGATTTTATTTATTTATTATGTATACAGTCTTCTGCTTACATGCCAGCAGAAGGCACCAGATCTCATTCAGGGTGGTTGTGAGCAACCTTGTGGTTTCAGGGAATTGAACTCAGGACCTCTGGAAGGCCAGTCAGTGCTCTTAACCTCTAAGCCATCTCTCCAGCCCCTTGTTTTTGTGTATTTTTGAGACAGTGTTTCTGTGTAACTCTGGCTGTTCTGGAACTTGCTTTGTAGACCAGACTGACTGGGAAATTCAGAGATCTGCCTGCCTCTGCCTCCTGAATGCTGGGATTAAAGGGGTGCACCACCATGCCCTGCTGTAATTCATAGTTTGTATTTTTATTTATGGTGTGTGTGAGTGCAAAGGCCATAAGAGGGCACGCCTGATGTGGAAGAGCCACAAGCATTCTTAACCACTGAGCTTAAACATTGAAATAACAGAAAAATGTCTCTATGCATAGGGACCTCTGAATCAGGTTGAAGAATTGCCAAATTATTTGTGTCCTAAGTATTTGGGGGACCTGTATGAAATGAAGAGAGTCCCTTTCTACTCCCAGCACTGACCATGCCCTATTACCTCTGCTTCCATCACTGCTGTTACTGTGCCCTTCTATAAAGTGCCTGCCTGAAGTCAGGCATTCCAATTTCAAAATACTGAGGCATGTGTCTCAGACCCGTAATTACAGTTATTTTGGTGACTGAGGCAGGAGGATTACAAGTTCAAAGCTTGCCTGGGTTACAGAGTAAGTTCAGAACCTACAAAAGAGTTCAAGGCCAGCCTTGGCAACTTATGGAAACCCTGTCTCAAATAAAAAAGGGCTGGGGATATAGCTCAGAGGTAAAGTGTTTGCCTGGCTAGTATGGCCAAAGGCCTAGGTTTAATATCCAGTGCTGAAAAACCATGAAACCAAGCATTGCTGCTTATCTTCAAAACAGCAACTTACGTTTATTCAGGCATATAATCAGTACTGATGCAGGGTAGGACTGGAGTGAAGAAGGCAGAAGAAGTGTTGTCCTGGATCCCAGGCAAAGAAATTTAAATCCAAGAAGACAGGGAGAAAAGAAAGTTTAAATTAAGTTTAACCAAAGTAATATCAACTTCTTTCTTTTTAACAGAGGCAAGGGAAGTGTAGTTTCTGCTGAATGATGGCAACATCACAGAATATCAAAGGTGAGCCAAGGATGAGAGACATTCACTTAATATATTTCTCACTTCCTGTCTATCCATCCTTTCCTTCAAAGGGGAATTATAGTACCATGTTTTCTGTTCACTTTGTTCAAACTATCATTTTGCCAGTTGCACTGAGCAAAATAAATATGACTTAGAAACAGCCCTTATTGGGACTGGAGATGTGGCTTAGTGGTTAAGAGCACTTGCTGCTCATACAGAGGACTTGGGTGGTTCCCAGCATCCGCATCAGGCAGTTACAGCTGCCTGCAGCTCCAGATCCAGGGGATTACATTCCCCTTGGCCTCCATGGGTACCTGCACACACTTGTACACACATTCACATAAAAAAGCAACCATGCTCAAATAATGTATGGATTCACAGGGAGAAAAATGCATTTAAGTATTTGTAATATGAAGTTAAATATGCAGAACACCACTAGAGAAGTACAAAGTACTATAAATGCTCAGAAGAAACAGATTATCACTTATATCTGGTGGGGTCAGGGTGCTTTTCATAGAGGAGATAGCACCACACTAGGCCCCGAGAATTTATTGTGTTTTGTTTAGTTCAGGGACATTCCTGTATGCATTTTGATCAGTTAAAATTAAAAATGGGTGTTTTTTTTAGAAAAAGAAGATTAAGCCTCAAGTCATTTCTAAGTGCTCAATAGCTTTTTTAAAGCTTCTTTTCTTTCTTTTTCTTTTTTTTTCTTTTTTTGTTTTTTCGAGACAGGGCTTCTTTGTGTAGCTTTAGAGGGTGTCCTGGCACTTGCTCTGGAGACCAGGCTGGCCTAGAACTCACAGAGATCCACCTGCCTCTGCCTCCTGAGTGCTGGGATTAAAGGAGTAAGCCACCAATGCCTGGTTTAAAGCTTATTTTCATGAAGTTAAAATGAACCTATTTAAGAAAAAAGCAATTCACACTTGAATAATTCATTTTCCTACATGCTTGTATTAATCATTTTGAATTAATGGTACAAAACTTGGAGTATGTTAGAACCAGCTAGTCTTGTCATATTACAAATTTCTGGGTCTCAGTCTAAACTGCTTCAAAATAATGTCAGGGCCTGGGCATTGGTGGCTTACTCCTTTAATCCCAGCACTCGGAAGGCAGAGGCAGGTGGATCTCTGCGAGTTCAAGGCCAGCCTGGTCTACAGAGCGAGTTCCAGGACAGGCTTCAAAAGCTACACAGTGAAACCCTGTCTCGAAAAACCAAAATAAATACATAAATAAATAAAAAAATCTCAGGGCTGGGGAATGGAATATGCAGGGAGGGACTGAGAGATATAGATTTGTTAAAAGCTAATTCTGATTTGACTACTCCACAGGCAGTGTTTGGCAATTTCTGTTAGACAAGGATTTCCTAAATTTCATTTGATCATATTTCTTCAGAATATGAAAAGGGAACAAAGAAAACCTTTGCTTCACCTACACAAAAGTCACACCATGTGAAACCTCAGGCTGACTCATGGAAGGAGGACCCCCAGGGGACCAGCTCTCTAGAGGCAGAGGCCAAGCCACGCCGGCCCAGAGCCAGCCCAAAGAAGGAGCAGAAGACAGCCACAGAGCATGGTCCCAACGGGGGCCAGGAGAAAAAGCGAAAGGCTCAAGACAAACCAGCCAAGAAGAAAGGAAAGGTACATCACACTCCAGTATTACCATCCCTTCTGCTGTTTCCTGGATAAGCCAGATAAAAAGAGTCAGGGTGTGTGTGTGTGTGTGTGTGTGTATGTGGGTGTGGGTGTGGGTGTGGGTGTGGGTGTGGGTGTGGGTGTGGGTGTTACTGAGGAATGAACCTAAGACCTCATGTGTGCTGGTCAAGATGTTTTCCTTCCTTACCCCTGTCTCTGCAGGAAAAACAAACTCTTACCAATGCAGAATTTGAGGAGATTTTCCAGATTGTACTACGGAAGTCCCTGCAGGAGTACTTGGGTATGGCCTGTGTGAAGAGAAAAAGCAGAGTGACTGTCATCTGAGGGATAGTATAAGTCTGACAGCTTCTTTCTCTTCCATCTTCCTGAGAAAATCTCAAATGATTCTTGAGATATTTAATCTCCTACCAATAGGCCTGTGCTAAATCATGTAAGAGAAAAGGGAAAGAAATGTCTTTGGAAAAGTAGGTGATAGTGATTTCAGAATCAACATAGCCTCACCTGAGTGATTTACTCCTATATGTTTGCAGTCTACTTAGAAAAGATAGTTTCCCCAGATTTGGAGAATGTATTTTATGTGTATTTAAATTACATTTTATTATTTATTTTTTAGTGTGTATATGTGTGAGAGTGTGTGTGTGAGAGAGAGCATGCATGCTATGATTTGTGTGTACAAGTGAGAGGACAGCTTGCAAGCATCCTCTCCCACTTTTCTCTTTCTACTATGTGGGTCCTTGTGTTTTAAGGCTTGGTGGTAAGTACCCCTACCTGCTGAGCTATCTTACTGGCACAAATTTTGTCTGTTTTTAATATTTGTTTGATTCTTTAAGGATTTGGTTTTAATTACTATTTATGTAATGTCTCTATGTTTAAGTGTATGCACAGGTTCATGTGTATGATGTGCTAATGTATGTAGGTATGGATGCATGTGTTTGCTCATGTGGATTGAGGCTGGAAGTCAACTTGTCATTCCTAAGGCTCTACCTTGTTTTTTGAGACAGTGTCATCCACTAGCCCGGGGTCCAGCTAGTTCCTCCAGTCTAGGCAGCTGAGAGTCTCAGGGACCTGACTTTTCCAGTCTCCTCAGTGCCGGGATTACAAGTGCATGCCACCACACTTATTTGTTTTATTTTGATTTTACATGGGTTAGGAGGCTTGAATTCAGGTCCTCATACTTGTAAGGCAATACTTTATTGACTGAGCTATTTCCCCAGCCCTTGGTTTGATTTTTAGAATAAAAAGGGCTGATATGTAGTCTTAGTGGCCTTTTCTATAAGGTCATGTGATTAAGAATGGTCTCATGTAAGCTATTTGTAGATGTACTTTTCTTAAAAGAAGTTTGAGGAAAAATAAGATAAAGTATAGTGCATGTACACAATAACATTATTACTAGGCTACCCTGGAATGAGGCTGGTCAATATGAAAAGGCTTGCAGAAAAATACAGATTTTTAGTTTTTCTTGAATTTTAATGATTTCAGGTTCTACCATATAACAAAAAAGGTAGACTCTTTGAAGCACAAGGGTAAGATATTTGAATGGAGTGCTATGGTTGAGAAATACTAGAGCATTTGTTTTCCTTTGTTTCTTTTCTGCTTGTAATACTTTGTTTTGGAAGGGCTGGGATCTGGCCTTAATTTTGCAGAGACTTCCTGTGTCCAACCCATAATACCTACCAAATCAGACAAAGAACCAGGAATTGCTTCTCCTGCCACTGATAATGAAAATGCTGATGGGTAAGTTTATTCCAGAGGGACAAATTGAACACAGGGTGGATGTAACATTGGTAAATGGTGCCCCATTTTCCTGTCTATTTAGTCTAAACTTACATTGATTCCTCTTAGCTCAGGAAAGATGCCTGTTAAAGTTAGGAAGAAAACAGGCCAGGAGTTGGATAAAAATGACCTAAGGAGGCCTTAGGAAGCCTGGGACTTGTATGTGTCTTTTGGGAATTGAACCCAGTTCCTAGTACATGCTAAGTATGTGCTGTACCACTGAGCTGCATCTCCCAATCCAATCTAGAATTCCTGTTTTACTTTTAACCCCTGGAGTCTCTTTCAAAGGATTGGAATGGCAAATGTCTCTCTGAAAACTTTTTATTTAAACAGTATCAATTCCAGGGAGGAGGTAATAGTACCTGATACTCGAGAGATTGCATCTTCTCTAGAAGAGGAAGTGGACTCTGAGATTAGGACGTCTAAGCCAGGCCAGCTGGCTGCTGAACCCTCCAAGAAGAAATCCAACAGACTTTCTTTAAGCAAAAGGAGGAAGAAATCCGGTAAGTATCATCACATGGCCTTTAAAAAGATGTTCTGTTTACGTGTATGTCGGTGTGTCTGTGTGTCTGTATAGCATGCATATGTGGGTTCATATAGAAGCCAGAAGAGAGTGTTGGATACCCTGCAGCTAGAGTTACAGGTGGTTGTAAGTTGCCCAAAGTGGGTCCTGGGAGCTAAACTAGGGTCCTCTCTCTAGCTCCCAGATATCCTTTATATTAAAAAAATGTTATTTATTATTAGTAGAGGGCATACACATGTTATAGCCTATGTGTGGAGGTCAGAGAACAGTTTTTCAGAGTCAGTTCTCTCCTTCCACTGTGGCTTTTGGGGACAGCCCTCTTGCCAGCCCAAGTCAGTTGTCTTTGAAACCTGGTTCAAGTACTTACTCAAGAAATAGTGGGCAGGCTAGGACTTTCTGCCCCAGGCTTGAAACTTGCTGGTGATTCTGTCACGGTTTTTTATTGCTTACAAAGGTCCTCATATCTCCCCACCTCATAATATGTTGTTTTATTTTTCAAGAAGATGAGAAAATGGAGGAAATCCAAGATGGATATGAGTGCATTCTGAAAGACAAGCAGAAGACAACGATTCAGGATCCTTCTCAGATCAGGGGTCAGCAGAAAGAAGAAGAAGGTGGTTTTGGTGAGCTCAGCTGAGCGTGGAAAAATTTGGGCTGAAAATTCAAGATGGAGGAGATACGCAGTGACTAGGAACAAAGGGAACTGCAGAGACTGTAATTTATCTTTCACAGTTACTTCTGAGAAGATGTGGGAAGAGGAAGAAATGGAAATATTTCATCTGTTTGGTTATTTATTCACACAGTCCACACTCTGTCCTGGGTATTTTAGATGGTGTCCAGGAAGAGAACTAAGGTGTGGCCAGAAAAGCGAATAGAATGGTTAGGAGAGGGTGGTGTAACAATGTCAAGTAAGAGAGAATTTCATGGAAAGGAGACAGTACCCAATCTTGTCAAATGCAACCACAGAGAAGTCACAGAACGAGGGTATGTTTGTGTTCAAGTACATCACAGTTAAGTTAGGGTCTCAGTATGGCTGCTGTATGGAATGGTCAGGGTGACGGCAGGCTATAGTTGGTTAAGAATTGGCACTAAGATGACTTGGTTGTTAAAGTGCTTGCCATGAAGCATAAGGACCTGAGACATATCCCTAGAACCCACATAAAAAGCACTCATATAACAGTGCAATCCTGTAGTTCTAGTCCTAGGGAGGTGAGACAGGAGAGTCCCTGGGGCTCGCTGGCCAGACAGTCAAGACTAATCAGTGCATGCCAAGTGCAGTGAGAGACCATCTCAAATTTTTGTGTTTTGTATTTTTTTTTTTTTTGAGACAGGGTTTCTCTGTGTAACAGCCCTGGCTGTCCTAGAACTCACTCTGTAGACCAGATTGGCATCCAGCACAGAGATCCACCTGCCTCTGCCTTCTCAGTGCTGGAATTAAAGGCGTATATCACCATGCCCAGCTTTGAAACTTTATTCAAAGGTGGAGAAGCAATTAAAAAAGACAGTCAATGTTGACCTGTAGCCTCCACATGGGTGTGTACACATGTATCCATGTACACACACACACACACACCACTACCACCACCACCACCTTTAGTTTAGTTGTGAAAAGGGGGGAAGGTAGATAAAAGGGAGTGAAGTGAGAATTATGGTATGGTTTTTCTTTTTATAACTTCTTATAGTCCAGGTTAGCCTTGAAATCACCATGCAGTTGGGGATAACCTCGAATTCCTGATCTTCCTGTCTCTGCCTCCCAAGGGCTAAATTATAGGCATGTGCTGCCATGCCAGGTTATAACTTCATTGTAAAAGAGAGGACTAGGGAGGCGGCAACTCAGTGATGGAGCAGTTTCCTAGCTTGTTCAAACGCCTAGGCGTGCTTTTCAACACCACCACAATGAAGAGTAGAGAAGAAACACAACATAAGAACAGTGCCACCCATGGAAGGTAGACACTTGAACACAGTTATATGCCAAAGGAAAGAGGGAGGGCTGGGAAGAGCCAGAGAACTTATTCTTTATCTGGAAGGTTGAAGACGTGAGTCTTTGATGGAATGAAGGTAAGGATGATGAGGTAGGAACTCGTTTCTTTCTTCTGTTTCTTTGGTTTGAGAATGAACCCAAGGCTTTGTATATGCTAACCATACAGTCTGCCACTGAATCACTTTACCAACTTACTTTTTGCATAGCAGTTATTAGTGACTTATATGATATGCCAGATATAGGGGCAAGAAATGATGGACAAGGGCCAAGGAGATGGATCAGTTGATAAAATGTTTTCCAAACAAGTATGAAGATTTGAGTTCAGATCTCCAGAGCTCACCTAGACCTGGATGCAATAGCACATTTACAATAGTAAATGAAGGGTTCCTACAGGGAGGTAGGAGGTGGAGATGGGAGAATCTCTGCAAGCTTAATAGCCACTTAGCCTGGCACATGCAGACAGGAAAAAAAATGAGAGATTGTCTCAAAGAAGGTGAAGTTGTCTTCTGACCTCCACATACATGCTGTGGCATGCACATGGCCTGCATTTACATACATGCCACAGCATGCTTGTAGCACATTCACACACACACATAGATAAAACAAAATATCAAAAAGAAATGAACTGGGCTGGGTGTGGTGGCACACACACCTTTAAGAAGGCAGAGGTAGGAGGATCTCTGTGAATTTGAGGGCAGTCTGGTCTACAAAGTGATTTCCAGGACAGCCAGGGCTATACAGAGAAACCTTATTTCAAAAAACCAAAATAAAGCAAACAAACAACCCCCCCAAAACAAAAAAAATGATGAACCAATCTGATACCCTCTCCTTCATAAAAACTACAATTAGTATGTCAGATAGATAATAAATGTGTCAAATAATGAAGATGACCTTGAGACATTTGATTATAAGAAATAAAATAGGTCACATAATGTATCAGTAAGTTTCAAAAAATTTAAAAAAATGGAAGAAAACAGGCTCATATGCATTAAAAAAATCTAGCTGGGTTTGGTGGCCCACGTCTTTTAACCTATTATAAGGACCAGTGGAATAAAAATTCAGCTAGTGTCTGATAACATGTATATATGTACATAGTTCAAATTTTAATGTGTACATATGTGTATTCATGTTGTATTTGTTTATGTGTGTGCAGGTACATACACATTTGTAGGCCAGAGGCAACCTCAGCTGTTGTTCCTCAGGAACTATCTGTAATTTTTTGTTTTGAGACAGGCTGTCATTAACCTGGAGTTCACAAAGTAGGCTTAGGTTGGCAGGCCAGTGAGCCCTAGGAATCCACCTGTTCCCATCTCCCCAGTGCTGATTGCAAATATTTGCCCCTGTGCCCAGAATTTAAAGAAACTTTAAGTTACAGCTTATTTGTGTGTGTGTGTGTGTGTGTGTGTGTGTGTGTGTGTGTGTGTGTATGTGTGTATGTGTGTACATGCTCTTGACATGTGCAGAGGTCACAGATAACTTGCAAGAATTGGTTCTCTTTCCACCATGTGGGTCTCAGGGACCAAACTCAGATCACTAGGCTCAGCAGTCTCACCGGCCCTGTGCTCATCTTCTTTCCATGTGGGTTCTGGAGACTAAACTCAGGACTTTACTGAGTCATCTCCTCATCCCTATATTTACATATTTTTTATTGTAAAAGCATAAATTGGTTTGCACAGTCTTAGGGAGACACTCTAGAAAGACTACAAGCACCATCATGGTAGTAAACATGGACTTAATACAATTACATGCTAAAGGAGGAGCTGGAAGTGTGATTTCTTCAGGCAGTCGCTTGTGCGGGCTTAAATCACCTAAAGGAAAGATCTAAATGGATTATTTCTCAAAGGGAGAACTAAGAAGTTTGTAAATGAATCATTTTCCTGTTTCTTAGAGTTGCTAAGGAGAGGAGAGCTCTCCTGGTATAGGATGTAGAAAGGGACTGTCATAAATACAATTTGTAATAAATGTGGTGAAGAAAAAGAAAAGGAAACAATGGAGCCCTAAGTAAGATTAGGCTGCAAGGGAACTCATTCCTAAGGAAATTATGTTTCAGTTAAAACCTGAAAACCAACTAGAAGTTATGTAGGTGGAGGGTAGGAGAAAGTTTTAGGTAAGATAAGATTTGGTTTATTCTGGGTTTTGAAAGAAAGCCCATGTGATTGGAGTTCTGAGATCACAGGGAGTAGCTTTGGAAAAATGGAGAGAGATAGGCAATAACTCAATAAATAAAAACAAATTTGTACCAGGCTCTTTCTTTTGGGCCACCACCCAGCTCCCAAATCATGACACAAAGACATATTATTAGTTTTGAATGCTCAACCTAGCTTAAGCTCATTTCTGCTTAGCTCTTTTAACTTGAATTAACCTGTTTCTCTTTATCTACCTTTTGACTCAGGGCTTTTTACTTTCTTTTTGTATATCTTACTTTCACTGCTTCTCATGTCTGCTGGCTGGTGGCTGCTTGGCTTTTTGCCCTGGGTGTCTCCCTCATTCTCTCTTCTTCCTTCTCTTGTTTTGCCCTTCTCTCTCAAGCCTAGATTTCTTCTCCTATTTATTCTCTGTGCTCACCAGCCCTGCCTGTCCTTTTTCCTGCCTAGGTATTGGCCATTCAGCCTTTTATTAGACCAATCAGATACCTTAGGCAGGCAAGGTAAACAGATGCAACATAATTAAGTACACATCCTTCCATCATGAAACAAATGCAGCATAAACAAATGTAACACACCTTTACACAGTTAAAGTCATCTTCTCCAGCATAAACAAACAAATGTAACACACCTTTACACAGTTAAAGTCATATTCCACAGCATAAACAAAAGTAGCACACCTTTACACAGTTAAAGTCATCTTCCACAGCATAAACAAATGTAACACACCTTTACACAGTTAAAGTCATCTTCCACAGCATAAACAAAAGTAGCACACCTTTACACAGTTAAAGTCATATGCCACAGCAGAGATAGGCAGTAACTCAAAAGAAAATACCATAGACACTTGCAGAGGACCTGAGTGAGCATGAGTCTCAGCACCCAGGTCAGATGGCTCACAACCACTCATAATTCTAGCTGTAGGAGATCTGATGCCCTCTTCTGGCCTCAGTGGACACATGCACTCATGTGCAAACATATAGATACATACATGTACACAGATACATAAATATAAATAAAATCTTTGAAAGGAAAATACATGTAGTGAGAATTTTATCCCAACGTCAGTGAGAAGCCATTGGTGGGCTACATCCAGCTGAAGATCATCTTTAATGTTTGAAAATGATCTTCCTCAGAGAATGGAGTATGGAGGAGGACAAACCCATTACTGAGTACTAGTATCAGAATGCATAATGGTTATGGAAAAATGGCCCCGACCTTAAAGAAAACAGTATTCACTCCAGTGGAAAGCCACACACCCAAGAGAACACCACAGCTTTGGATTAGGATGATGAAAGCAGAGGTAGAAGTGTATGGTTTTATAATGTTTTAGAGATAAAATCACAAGAACTAGGTAATGATTAGTAATTGATAGAGTATGAGAGGAAAGCATCAAAGAAGATTGGTCTCTGGCATACATTTATGTGACAGGAAATGGAAATGGGTCAGCAGAAAAAGACAACTGTGGGAGAAGATGAAATATTCTGGTTTGGGTACA